AGAATATTGCAAGTCAAAAGACTACTTCACCTAATCATTCGAATCTTTGTTTCGTAGTCTCTAAATTATAATATTGCAAGTCAAAAGACTACTTCACCTAATCATTCGAATCTTTGTTTCGTAGTCTCTAAATTATACTATTGCAAGTCAAAAGACTACTTCACCTAATCATTCGAATCTTTGTTTCGTAGTCTCTAAATTATACACCCTCTGGTTCTGGTTGAATCCTAACACCTTACTCCAATTTTGACTCTATATGACCTAGTATATGTATAAAACTATGTCGAATCCTTCCTTAAACGTAACCTAGAATTGGATCCTTATTATCTAAACAAACCCCAAACATACCATTGGGAAGTGATTCAGTAATTAAATTTGCATAAATCCTTTTTTGTTCTTTCATTCCAGATGAAACCCGTTTCAAAGTATCAATTAATGAAAGGGGAGTGCTATTATAAATCCACCTTTTTTTTTTTTTTACAATATAGGCTGGCAATTTAATTTTCCTGATGAGAGTGTATCCGTATAACAACGAGGAAACTCTATAAAAGGGGATTTTAGCTACTCTGTAACAGACTGGTTCCAAGGACTCCAACTTTGACTACTCCACACCATGTGGGTAATTCCTCTATAAAAGGGGATTTTAGCTGCTCTGTAATAGACGGGTTCCAAGGACTCCAACTTTGACTACCCCACACCATGTGTATACGCAATGTGGGTAATAGACAATGTGTATTACACACACAATCTGTTGGTAATAAAAAATGTGGATACACCACTCTAAAAGACCGAAGGTACCCCACTCCAAAAGCCTGATTCGGTGCTATCTCACCCGTGTTATTCTCATTCTCATCCATGGTAAAGACGATAACTCACCCGAACTGAATTTGAGACCTGGTGTCTCAACGATGTGTGATCCTGTCTCATACCTCCAGCATTTGATCAGAGTAGTAAGGCGGGAAGCCCTCTGTTCCAAACTACCTTATCTAGAGAACGGCGTAATAGAGTCAACGTGGGTCTATCTTTCAACGTTGTCTCTATCTTTGGGTTGATTTCATTAGTTAATTTCAATAAGAATTCAACTAATGCGCCACTACCCAAAACAGGACCGAGCTCTAGATTGAATGATACTCTCGAAAGAGACATAGTTTTCGAGTACTTGTTTGGCTTGTACTCTAAAGGTTCTGATTGTTGAGTAGTGCTCTAAGGGGTAACACTTTTAGTACTTTAGTAGTACTTTTTATGAATGTTGAGTAGTACTCTAAAGGGTAACACTTTTGCTGTGGTACTTTTTTTGCCAACTTGAGAAGGGTGTCCTTCGAAACTGCTTGATAGATGGCGGCAAGAGTCATCCTATCCTTACGCTTCTCAACGTCGTCACCATGCTCAATGGTGTCCAACATCTCTTGTGCATCTTTATCAAAACATGGAGCGTTACACTCCCCTCCTTTCTGCTCTTTATCATTGTCATATCTTTTTCAATGACTTTCTGTGGCGACTGACATTTCTTTTTGGCATCCTAGATCTGACACCAAATGTCAAATATGACCCACGATTGAAATGCACCAAAATAAATAAATAGATAGAGTAGAAAGAACAACTTAAGGAAAGAGTTTCTTAACTGTACATTTCAATTTTCAATTTTTTAAGAATTTTCTAAACTTTTAGAAAGTTAAAAACTACTGGCAAATCTTCTAAATAAATCACTAAAACTTACTCCACACTTTAACAACTACTAGTCATTCACTTAAAATTGCTCCAATTTCTAGCTCACAAAATATAACCTACATTGTATGCCCATGAGGGCTAGACCTAGGACAATACACTTAGGTTCCTAGCACGTGAAAGAGACTGACCCACTTCAGCAGTGGAGTGATTTTCCTCTCTTTAGTGTGTTTCGTAAGAGGTTGCTATTGTTCTCAATCAATATGGTTCATTGTGGTGACTCACTAGTGCTTGTTGACAATAGGTGTTTGCCAATGAGCGGATGTAGTTCAAGCCTCCCATGCTGGAAATCAAGATGCAAAATATATTTTCTATAGAAAGGATTTAAAATGATCCAAATGAGGTAGGTTCGAAATAATGTTTTTCCTTATACAATAAAATCGAAGTTGGATACTTGCGATTTCATTTAAGGTTTGTGTTATAACTTGAAAATAAAAAAGTGAATGCTTTGAATTGGAAGATTTGTAAACTTATATTTGTATTCATGATTAATAACTCTTCCTCCCATCTTTTCTCTTCTTCTTCTTCTTTTTTTTTTTTTATGATGATGAGAAAAAGGCACGAACAAGCACCCATTGTGATGGTGAAATGCATTGAACAACAAAGGTTCTCTAGAGAAGATATGATAACAAAGAGTCTCGATGATGTTAAAATGTTTGTTATACAGTTATCTAAATTTGATCGCTTATGGTATCAACTTATATTGATGGCTTTCTCTTAGGAAGAATTGTTGATGTAGTTCTAACTGCTATATACTTGCCAAAAGAACTTGCTTTTTCCTTATCGCTTTGGTGATCAACTAGCTATATTAAACGAAAAATGACATCGACTCAAGTTAGGAACCAATATTACCTCTCATCTACAATGTGTACATTTTTTTAATCTTGTACCATATGTGTGCGCGCACGCCCCCCTTCTTATTTCCCTTATTTACCCCACATTTCTTCCACTTTCCCATTTTCTCTACTTCTCTCTCCCTCCCCCCATTATTTCCTCCACCCACTCTTCTCCTTTTCCCATAACTACTCTCCCAAAGTCATAATTTTTATCGCCCCAAATCATTATTTTTCTTAGAATCAGATAGCGACATGGGTGTGCTAATAGTATCACACCCCAACCCATTTATCAAAGGTGAGAGCATACACCTGCTATCCAATATAGAGTCCGTAAATGATATAACATGGACACATGAGGGTCCAATGCCCTAATAGAACCCAGATGAGTTTTTGAGATGTTTCAATATTATGAGCGACACATGGGCCTGTTCTCAACAAGTGAGTTGCAATGGTCGATGACACCCGATGACTTAGGATGACGCTAAGACATATGGGTCATGCTAATTGGAAATCAAGATGATGTTGGGATGCGATGTTGCATTGGTAGATCTTGACTCCGAATAGAGGCAAGGTCGAGCTGAATGACTTAGCCTAGTGTATAGGCAAGTTGGTTGTGTCGCTGATGATTGAACAAGCATGCACAGGCGGCGCGTGTTGTCGAACAAGCTTAGATTTCATACAAATTGTGTTTGGTGGACGAAGACAAACCTGACCTAAGGTTCAACGAAACCACAAAGCCACACGGTTGAAAATGAATGATCGTGACACAGTAGTAGTGTGATGGAAATCACTAGAATCTCTATCTCTTATCTCTTTTGGTACACCTTTAGTGCTAGAAGCACCCTACCAAGCCATAGCAGTTCAGTACCGTAAAGCCGGGCCTAGATCGAATAGTGTAGCACGCCAAGCTGGCTAGGTACCCTTATTTACAACTATCTCCTAAGTAGGGCCTTTGTGCTGTAAACCCATCCTGAGATGGGGCGTGAGACCACACATATAACCTAGTAGTTGGTCGGCACATGAGGTCGCTCCCTCAAGATTTCAGAGGGAATCTATAACCTTGTAGAAGGGTTGCCAACTAACCTTTCTGGGATGATGTTCAGACCAACTAAATGACATATTGTCTCAACAGATTTTATGAGGTAATGCCTCAATATAGAATACTAGTTATTCACTGCTATGGCTATGCATCAGATTAAGTCTAAGAATAGAAAAGAAGATCATCTTAGTAAATATATTTATCACGGGGTAAACCTTGACACTAGAAATGGGTGAACCTCCTCTAGACTCAAGGGTGGGTTTGTGATGAACATGAGAATGCTCAAAACTTCGAGAGTTTCCCAAAATCTTAGATAGTTGTAGAGCTAGACCTGAACTTCCTAGAGCCTGAAGAAAAACCTGTGGTAACTTAATAGAATAAAGATGCATTGAGAGCCTCTAAGTAGGCTGCTTATTAAATATTTTTATGCTCGCCCCTTGTTACATTTTCTATTTTAGGTGAGTAATGATGTTGGTCGAGATAAGGGAGTGCTCGGATGCTACGCTGTCACAGAGGGGTGTCGACTCGAGGCATCGCTTTTATCTACATTTTTATGGGTTCTTATTCCTACACATTTTGTATCTCATTCCCATTGTCCATTTGTCAATAACTTGAACAACACCTGTTTTGTAATGTTTTCGTTTTGGATTTTAACTCGGTGTTGTGCGACTTTAATTTACACAAAATTTCATCTATTTTAACTATTACTTATTTTCATTTGTTTGCTCTTGTCTTATCTTTTAGTCATGCTCAAAGTTTCAAAACCTCCCAAATTGAGTCAGGATATCTTGGAAATTTTGTAAACTAAATGTTTGACTCTACAAATACTTCTTTGCTTTTGATACTTTTTAATGACAACATTATCATTTTTTTTTTATCTTAATTCCTTTTTACAAAAAAAAAAAGAAATTTTTTATTGCCCATTTTTACTCTTAATCCATATGGTCGCCCATAATTCAAAGTCTAACAAAATGGGTCGTGGATTGGTATCAAAAAGTTGCAATTCTTAGAAAGGGCCTAGGTCAATGAAAGTTCAATGAGCAAGCCTCACAGATTGGTATCAGAAAGTTGCATTCTTAGAAAGGGCCTAGGTGAATGAAAGTTGAATGAGCAAGCCTTGTTCCAAGGCTGAGTGCCTCTAAGAGAATGTTCTAGGTTGCAGCCTCGAGAAAACCTAGTTGACTGTGTCAAGATAAGTTGGGTGCTAGAAGAAGATGCCCCTTGAATCCTAAGATGCAAGATTATGTAAGAGGTGAAAGGAAAACTTGATAAAAAGTCGTAAGATTCTTGGCGGTGGATTTTGCAAGAATGGTCAAATGGAACACCACTACGTGATAAGGGACATAGTGGCAAGAACAATGCCTATGTGGGATAATATCGCCTTCTGATATGATAATATATGACATCAAACAACTCCTTTTGATACAATAAGTAAAATGGTCATAAGGTTACATGAGTTTGACGAATTTACAAGTTTGAGTGAACTACGGATACCATAATATTTGCTGAAAACATAATCTCTCACTCAATTACAGTCCAAAGCAAGGAACTCAACACTCAGTGAACTTTCAAACTGGTCCGTGTAGAAATTTTGTATACACACCATATGTTGTTAGACACTGTTGATGCCTGTCCCATCTAAAAAAACACAAGCAACAATCCAGCGCTTTGAGCCAGCCCGACCAATATGGGGCTTTCTCACTAAACATCATTTACAGGCAGCCGTTCTTCGATCGATTCCCGACAGATTGGGCAACGATTACACTTCTCACTACAAGAGCTGAAATCCCATTCGTGACGAACACAGTCAAATTCATACAGAAGTCTTCCAGTTAGAGTTAAAGCGTTAAAGCATGAAGAAGATGAACAAAGGAGAAGGTGAATATTACCTGCAAAGAATGTGATGCCTACACGGAAGAAGAACCATATCAATGGGTTCATCAAAGCATACTCTACAAAGAATCTTCTCCTGTAATGACCCAAATTTAAAGAAATGATTCTCAAATACAGCCACCAGAAACATTTAATAGTTTTCCATCCATGAAAAAACAGCTTCTCTTTCTCTCATAGGTTAAACATAGCTGAGTATTCAAAAAGTAAAATAGTTGAGTCAGAAAAGGTTACATATAGAAGCTTTTCGTGCTCCTGGCGGCTCAATTTCGTAACTTCTGTCTGCTGATTTAATGCAGCTTGTAATCTCCATATCTGTAACGAGAAAACAAAATAAAGAAGTCCACTACAGGGAAAACACTTCACAAAGACTTCCCAGGTAATTCATTTGAGCAGGACCAAGTACAAGATAGGAACCAGAATTTAAATTGAAAATTATGAGTACGTAATTGTTGGAAGAAATACAGAGGTAGACAGTGTGTATCAGTTGGTCCTGAAAATTACGTACTCGTATGACCTCAAAACAAAGCACACAAATGGGGGACGTGAATATGTGGCAACCAGAAGTAAATATGTGGCAACCAGAAGTAGATATAGTGTTCTCTTTACCTCATCAACTAGATTGGATTTGGTCCTTTTCTTTACAGTCTCAGGTGTGAAGGTATCATACCTGAATAATAGCATTAAAGACAAGAATAAGAAAGAAAAAATAATGAAGACAATATATCTTTGTATCAACGAGAAGGAAGAACACTAGACATAGCTACAAGTTCGTAAGTGTTTATAAGTTCTTCCATCACCAACAAAAAAATAATTTATAAATCATAAGGAAAAGTCAATATGGGCTTCCCTGGATTGTTAAGTACATGATAAAACTATGAAATACCAAACCATTAGGAGAAAAAACAGAACAAAGAAATTTCACTACTTTATAGTATCAAGCAAAGAAAGTTCATCAACTTCTTTCCATTTCAAGCTACAACAAATGTCAATCGAGAATATAGTTTACATTCAAAATCTTCATTTCTCAATCTACTAGATTTGAGCCAGATCAAACAACAGGTAAGTAGCGTGCTCAAAAAGTATGATACCGATAAAATAAAATAGAATCGTGAATTAAAGTAGTATACATGTATAACAGCGATTCTTAAAGGGTTCAACAACGAATTCGAAGGGCGTCCTAATGGTAAGGGTCTGGATACGTTGGAGATACTCTCCAAGGTCCAGGTTCAAGATCCTATTTAGAGAACTTAATAACTTGAAGCCCCATATGATTCCCCAGAGTTGATCTTAGCATTATATATTGAAGTGTACATGGGCATCAGATAAAACCTAGAATCAGATTGAAGTTAAGTAAGGTCGAAAACAAACCCAGAATTTCCAGCAGAATAAAGTTTAGCTTGCTCCTCTTGACTACCTTCATCAATTGACCACCAACCTAGCAACCTACAAATAAGGAAGAAATTGATATAAACCAAAGGATAATATCTAATAATCCTGTAAATTCTACACTCAATTCAAGTTGCATAACTGGGAATCAACTAAAGAAATAGACAAAAATTCAAGAATTTACCTCGATCCATGGTGCATGAACCCTAACAGTTCACGAGCCTTCGACCTTATATCAAGATATCTTACAGAGGTAGGTGAACCAACTAGCAAAATTATAATTTTTTCTATTGACCTATATGCCGCAAATACTGAACCCACCCCTTGCAATAAGAAAAGAGGAGAGAACAGAACCAGACAAGGAATATAGGAAGCACTCCTAGGGGTTCCCTGAAATTGAAATGTTTGAAATGAGAAACCCAGAAGCTATAGAAAAATTTCATTTAAAATTCATCTTTTTAAAAATTTACCTCTAAGCGCATAAAAAGCATGATTTGGAAAATGATTAAAGGAACCTTCATTATGTGTCCACCAATTTCCTGCAAGTTACAAACTCTGACTTGGGGTTGGACCTCATCAGAGGAAACAACCACACCTCTATCCCAGTCAAGGTATCTAATGGTCAGCGAAGAGGAACTGGATTCTCTAACAAGAGAATGCCTATGAATCATAGGATTATACCACTTCGTGCAGACAAGAAATGCAAAGCATTCCGCTATACTGCACATTTTTAAGGAGAAATTGTGATTTATATAAGAATTTCTCGAGAACAATTCAATATGCAAGGAAAGAAAAGAGAACAACAAGGTTAAACTAGAATTTTTGTCCCAAAACTTGTTACATCTATTTAGTTCTTTAACTTCAAAAGGTTTCTAATATGTCACCAAATCTTGATAATTATATCTAATCTAGTCCCTTTATTGAATAAAAAAAAAAAATCTAATAAGTACTAGAATTTCCAACTTTGTCTAATAAGATCATCCTGTTAACATTATTAGTTTAACACTTATTTAACACATAGATAGTATTATTTAAGAACTAAGCTTTAAATCCACCCCATGTGAGTTTAACGCTTACGCGGCATATTGATTGTATTATTCAAGAGCAAAGCTTTAAATCAACCCATTGCATGATCCTTAAATAATACACAATTAGCATGTCATGCTGTTGCCAAATGAATTATTAGCAAAACTTATTAAACAGTTTGAGGATCTATTAGCAACTTTTAAAAGTGTAGAATTAAATAAACAGGTCTACGAAAGTTTAGGATCACAACATGCAATTTAACCACATATATTTAAAGCAGACTCAAAGTCAATGTACCAGTAATTTATAAATAAATCCCACCAGCCCAGAGCAGCTACACTGCCTGCATAAAAAAGGAGTGTGTTTTTTATCAGTCTGTGAAGGTTAAATGAACCTCCCTACTGTTTGTATCACTTGCAAGCATATCAACAATATGATACTGTTCACAGAACAAGTATTACAGGTCATGCCCCTTTTGATTATGGTTTACTGAGTCTCCCTAATGTTTATTCTTCTTTTAAGTTTCCCTAGCGAGTTCCTGTCGCATGCACGGATGTCAATAGCATGTTTTCGCTCAAAGATATAATGATGGGAAGCGCCGTTTTGAAATTAAGGTTGTTTTATTTTATTTTTCTTTTTTATTTTCCATTCTACTTGTAAAAATGTTTCTTAAAACATAGCAAAATCCTGAACTCTAAAAATAGTAGTTCTTTTAGAAAAAGTTGAAGTTTTGTCAATATTTCAACAGTGTGCTAAAACTAGAAAGTAGAACAGGCAAATCATTATCTACCTTAATTTAATGAAACGTAATCCTGAACTCTAAAAATAGTAGTTCTTTTAGAAAAAGTTGAAGTTTTGTCAATATTTCAACAGTGTGCTAAAACTAGAAAGTAGAACAGGCAAATCATTATCTACCTTAATTTAATGAAACGTAAAACAGTGTGCTAAAACTAGAAAGTAGAACAGGCAAATCATTATCTACCTTAATTTAATGAAACGTAATCCTGAACTCTAAAAATAGTAGTTCTTTTAGAAAAAGTTGAAGTTTTGTCAATTTAATGAAACGTAATCCTGAACTCTAAAAATAGTAGTTCTTTTAGAAAAAGTTGAAGTTTTGTCAATGTTTCAACAGTGTGCTAAAACTAGAAAGTAGAACAGGCAAATCATTATCTACCTTAATTTAATGAAACGTAAAACTTAAAACAATTATTATCAAACAGAGCTCATATCAATTTTCAAAAATTAGAAATTTATGCCGTGCATCCTCCACTTTTACATGTCTATAACACTAAAATTATCCTAAGAATATTTTCATGATGAAGCTTCGAACATAAACTTAAGTGCACGAAAATACTTATTCATACGGTCATATCCATTGGAATTCTATTTTGTAACCCCTTGGTTTTGTGGGAATATCTCATCCCCCTTTTTTCTATCTTTATTCTTGGCGCTGTTAATAATATTTTTAGTTTCCTATTAGAAAAAGCACTAAAATGTTCATTTTCCCGATCAAGAACCCAAAAGGCTCAAGTAATTTTAAACCCCGATCTGAACTAACAGGTCACAATCTTTTCAAGTAATTTCAAAAAAAACTTGCTGCAAGAGCTTTGATACTCTGAAGACACATTATGACGTACATCCAGAGATCTTTAGTATAAATGGTCTTGTATAGTATAGCCATAAAAATAACAATCAGAAAGTCAAGATGGTGAGCAATTAATGGACCTAGACCTAGTTGCTATATGACTGAGTAACAACTTAATATGACTCTAATAATCTTAGTTCATTTGAGAAGAGGTAAACGTACCACTAAGCTTAAGAAGAGTGAAAAGGGTTGCAGCGATGAAGAAAACCATGGAGATTGAGACCCAGAAGTGCTGGAACCAGAGATCAATAACTGAGTATCAAAATATCATAGCAATATATATATATACTTGGAACTTGTAAAAACCAAACACTTGAATATAATAGCCCATACAACCTAATTTTCTAAGACTTATACAGGATGACCAAGAATCAAGGTAATCATTACATGCCTCTTTCAAGGATATGTTAGATCATAACCAGAAAAAGTATCGTGTCATTTCAACTGGAATAAGCAGGAATAGCCTTAATAATTCCTTTAGCTTTAAGCCCTTTTACCTTTTTCACTAGCTTCAATCAAGCACAAAGACCTCAAAATAAAAATAAAAAATAAAAGCATAGCTATTCCAATGATGATACCACACCATAGTCCCATCCTTTGTAAATCGTTTTCAATTGTACAGCAAAAGGAGCTATCCAAATAATGGAAATTTTAATCTAAAAAGTTGATGAAACTCTTGGGAACTGTAGCATGTCTAAGGGCAGCGTGCTAAAAGAAAGCGTTGTTTTCTTAATAATCATTCATCACCATGCAAAAACCTAAGTAGTACTCCCCAGACAATAGCATATGATGGTAAATCAATGATGCTGAAATTTTGATTGACATTCAGCATTATATGCAAAAGAATAATTTTCCAATCCAACTTACAGGAAGCGTTTCCCATATAACTTCATCGCTTACGTTGTCTTCTTCATCTCCAGGCAGTAGGGCTCTACACATCCTACAAGAAAAAATTCATATAATTGAAAATGAAGTAAATATGATATAATGAAAATTACTGAAATATTTTAGCTCAAAGAAAAATGGAGAGAAAATCACAGAGAAATATCGAATCACCAAAGGTTTAAGGCTTTCTCTAGAAGGGTTGCACAATTATTTATTCAATTAGTCACTAACAGTCAAGACACAGAGTTCTCTTTGTAGCTTTTTTTGTAATTACTCTTTCTTAGATATTGGTGCTAATTAGGATGCATTTCGTAAGCCTCCATGATGGGTTTGAGGATGCCTCATCCTCTTTTTTGTACTTCATCTCAAGTGGAAAATATTTCTTTCTCCAAAGGAAAAAATACATATACAATAAAATTGTGTATTCCAATTTTCCAGAGCCTTAGAGGTAAAAAAAAGAACAATTGACGAAGAATTCATGATCATGTGGAAGAACATGATTGTACCTGATATTGTCGACCAAAATTGCTATCTCAAATATCATGAGGGGAACAAAGACAATCTTCAAATCTATAACTGCAGTAAAATTAAGCTGCATTAAGATTAAAGTGCGAGTGATTATTATGAAATAGTATCACTTTATTCTAGTGGACCCATATTAATGTCCAGACGTTGGTGGAAAATCCAAGTCACTTGATCTCTATTTATGAGCCTACAAGCATGAAAAACTTCCAATACATGGAATCAAACACTCCACAAGCCCAAGGAGAAACAATAACTAAAGAGACTACCTACCATTACTGCACTCTAAATATATACAAAGAAGTACTTCGAAAGCAACAAGTAATGGTGTTGCCATGACAGCATGCCACGGTGCCCACTGTGCATCACAAAGGAATGTTTAAATTTGTGTTCTTTACCGAGGAAGAACAAAATGAAATTGGTTAGGTTATATGAGATTAGAAAACAAAGTAGACGAATCACATACATATCGGTCATGAGGCATTGATGGAGCAGGTAGAGAAAATCTGCCTCTTGCTGCAACTAAATGAAAAAGCCATAGGGGTGAAAAGACAACCCTGCAGGCAAAAAGGATAAATTGATTCTATCTATTAATTCAGATGTTAAGAGCGGGAAGGACTTTTCCAATGCATTCCCACAAATCTCCAAAGAGAAAATAATAGAACATGTAAATGGCAGCTCATTCATGGCAAAGAAAAAATCTTCATGCATATCTAGAGCTGAGTTAACCATGTTAAGCATGAATTGCAATGTAACTTGCATTCATATGAACAAACCATATACTACCCCAGAGTTCCAGACTAAGCCCAAGAAGACACTCATCAATATTTAAACCTACTTCAAACTAGGCCTTATAAAGGACTAAACTAGCTCTAGATTTTGGTATTGCATAAGACTCCTCTACGTTCAAGTTATGGCTGTATATTGTTCTTCCACAATTCCATGTCAAGACAAATATATTATAGACTCACAGTCAGAATATATTACAGTAATGTTCTAATTTCATAATATAAGACTTCCCGTCCTCTTAAAAAGCAAGTTTATGTAATGACAGCTGACAGGTATTAGCAAGCAAAATCTCAATAGCCAGAGATTATGAGTGCCCATCTGAAATTTACCCTTAAAAATACACAAGAGTGGAAATAACTGCCGCAACCTTCTTTTCAACACAAGCACAGAGATGAAATTTCAAAAACGATTAACCGAGGCCTTTCAAATCAGGTGGGACCCAGATGCAGGTTTCTCTATACCCACCAGACAGTGAAATAACTTCGTTTGGGAGTTCAAACCCAAGCCCATATGCAGGCCCCTCCACACATACCAGAAAGTATTACAAAATGACCAATCAAATCCAAGCAAACAGAGCCTCAGAAACTTTTTTTATATTCAAATTTCCTTATGAGGTAGAAAAACAAAGCAGGGCAGAAATTGTTAGCAGAAGATAAGAGCAGAGAAACACAACAAAATGCTAGCGAGAAATCAGGCTAACACCTCCAAATTCAGTTCTACATTCTCCATACCACCAAATAATGAAGGAACTTGAGAATTTAGACCCAAAAAAGTTCAAATTACACAAAATTACAAATGGGTTCCACTAATTTTCTGCAAAAAAAACAGAAAAGTTGAATAAGGAATTGAGAGAGGTACGAACCACCAAGAGTAAGAGACGAGATGGTCGAGCTTGAGAGCAAGCGTAAGCGTGAAGGACAAAAGAAAACCATGGGCTGCCAGAGCCTGGAGAGACTTGAACACCCTCCTCCATGTCAACACTCTAGTCTCCACCACCATAACCAGAAGAAGAAGAAGAAGAAGAAGAAGAAGAAGAAGAAGAAAGAAGAATTTGGTCTGCTCAGAAAAGATTAAGCAAAAGAGAGAGAACTGGAGTCCTCTCCTCAACCCCCTCCACCTCTCTTTCTAAGAAAGTTCGGCCTCAACGCTGAAATTGAGAGAAGAATTGAAATGGGGCAGTGGAAGGTGGGGTTAACAAATATTCCCGAGCGCCAGCGGTTTCATTTCAACACTTTGCTTTTACGCGAAACGAGGAAAAAGACGTTTAATTAAATGTAAGCGTTGAATTTTGAAAATTATTCGTTTTCTTTTTCCCCAAAATACCCTTTTAGGTTTTTCCTTTTTCTTTCTCAAGTCTTTTTTTTGCGATCAATATCCATTTTAATTATTTTAATTATTTTAATTAATCAAACTACTTCCACCACCAAAATTTTTGTCCACAAATTTAAATTCTCAATAATAAATAAGTAAAAAAATAAAATTAGGTATTTAGTTCTTTAAATTTCACTTAATTAGCCCACCAAACTTGGGAAAATGGTAATTTTCTGTTTGGGTTTTTTATATTAATACCTATTTTTCGAAACTCAATAACTATGTTTCATTTCGTTTTTTCTTTTAATATTAAATCTATAAATATCACTTCTAGTGTAGGCTCCTTTTGTTTCTTTTTACCAATATTTTCAAAGTTTTAATTAAGTTTTGAAATTTTAAAATATAGTTTTTCTTGATAAAAATAAAAATCATTGTAAATAAATATGAGGAACGTAGGTTTTCAAAACAAAAATTAAAACTAAATAGTTATTCAATAAGTCCGAAGTAAATGTTTGAAAAAGTATATACGCTAAACTAACTTATTAGGAAAAGCTCAAGAACTAAAAAAAGGTAACTTTCTTGTTTTTTTTTTTTATGTTATTCAAATCTTAGTTATGTATTAAGAGGATTGTAGTTATTATTAACCATCCGTAAATTTGAATGAATTACAAAAGTTTATAGGTTAAATTTCTTTGATCATATGTATTTCGTGAGTCATTGTTTAGCTCCACATGCCCCTTGGTTAGATTCGAGAATTTCAAGATGAGTTAAAAAGAGAAAAATGTTTGGAGTAATCCCAAAAATTTAAGAAAATATGAAAGAAAATAGTGAAAAATAAAGTCGCCAAAGAGGTAAAAAGGTCATTTTGAACCATCTTTCTTTATGGGGTCCGTGAGTACCCTAATCATACCATGAAAGAGCAAGAAATAAAAAGAAAGAGTAAAAAAGAAAAACAAAAAGGGTTAGGATTTTGAGAGAGAATTAGATTAAGAAACAAAATCGGCTACAAACGATGGATTAGAGTCTGAATTTCATCGGAGTTCCTTCCCAAGAGATGTTTAATAGTACGAGGAGAACCATTCTAGACTTATGAATCACTTAAATCCATGAAGAATTGAAGGAGAACCTAAAGTAATATTTCATATTGTTGATTTTAGTTTTCACTCAAATCCTCCATTGGATTTAGGTTCTTAGTTTTTCATATGTCGTACTTGGAGATGTTTTGCACAAGTTTCGTGAGGAGATCTTGAGTTGAATCAGACCCACTTCTTGTATATATTTATAAATTACAAAAAAAATTTAAAAAGATGGATAAAAATTATAAAACTTTGAACTACCTAAAGAAAAATATGAAAATTCAAAAAAATGGAAAGAATTTGAAAAATCGATGTGCATGTGTGAAGATAGCCAAGCCTAGGTTAATTAGGGTTGTGTGACCGACGGTTCAATTGGATTACCTTGCACAATAAATTCGTCTTGAGAGAAGACATGGGATTACACGAGTAATCTTGGTAATTGACAAGCACAAGGGGGTCACTCCCCTAACCTTGTGTGACTTGATGGATTTATAGGAAGGGTTCACCAGCTAACCTTCCATGGATGACGAGAGAAGGCTAGCACACACTATGTTATCCCTACCAAAGAGAGAATTTTATGAGGTAGCGCCTCAATGTTAGGATCGCACAACAACTCACACTCGATCTAGATGACACAAAAAATAGGAGAGAGAAAATGCAAAAAGGAATATTGGCTAAAGATTTTGTATTGATTACTTCATGTATGTACAAGAGAATACACCCAGTATAATTTCAAATCTCTAAGCGTAATGGAATATATATATGGTTCATTTTACTATATTTAGATTTACTGGATATAACCATCTACTATATAACACTATCTACCATATATAGCTTTACCGAATATAGATCTTTACTGTGTATAACCGTTGACTAAGCTATAAATAAGAAGCAGATTCCATTATCTAACAATTCTCACATTGAGACTAATTCAGTCAACCAAGAATTTCATTCTCAAACGACCATCAGAATCTTCATTACACCATACCAATTGAGGTTTTGTGCAACCTCAATGTTCCAACATCAACACATTTTGTTAACATGTTTGATGGATTCTTTGCACTCTCTATCTTCTCTAAACATGTCACCATCTTCCACTAACCTGCGATTGAAATGGTATTGCCTTCTATGTTTTATCTTTAAATGATAGGCCGGGTTTCTCACCAACTGTATGACACTCTAACCATCTCCGTAAAGAATCTTTTTGTGCTGCTTCTTGCCCAATTCTTCCAGATAGTCAAATTGTCTCCTTACCAGCTTTAGCTATTGTCACGTACTCAACCTCAGTACAACGTATTTTTGAAGTTTAGACATCCCATCATCCATGGCTTGCTCCCACTTGGTTGTATCCTCCAACTATAGGGTCTCATTAAAGGACTCTAGTTTCCTTTCATTAGAGTAAACAACAGATAGTGTAATGAAGGTACATACATATCTGGTACTCTGATGGTATTGGATGAATATCAACATCGGTTCAGGTGTCACTTGCTCCACCACTGGTACCTATGCAACAGTCGCAGAAGTTTCTTGAGTATTTGCTACAACATCACTAGGTGATTATTTCTACAACTCAACCTCAACTCCCACTTGCTTCACTGTCTTTGAACCTTTCTCCATCTCTGGTTCCTCAGCAATAGTCTCAGGAGTTTCTTGAGTATCTGCTACAACATCACTAGGTGATTTTTTCTGCAACTCAACTTCAACTCCCACTTGCTTCGTTGTCTTGGAACCTTGCTCCACCTTTGGTTCCTCAGCAATAGTCTTAGGAGTTTCTTGAGTATCTGCTACATCATTAGGTGAATTTTTCCGCAACTCAAGCTCAACTCCCACTTGCTTCATTGTCTTGGAACCTTGCTCCACCTCTAGTTCCTCAACAATAGTCTCAGAAGTTCCTTGAGTATCTTCTACAACATCATTAGTTGAGTTTTTCTGCAACTCAAGTTCAACTCCACTTGCTTCGTAGTCTTAGAGCTTATTTTCTCTTTGTCCTTGTATAAGACATTTTCATCAAATGTCACGTCACAATGTCTCAGGACTTTTCTATTCTTGTCATCCCAAAACCTGTACTTGGACGTGTCAGAACCATAGCCTATGAAATAGCACTTCACAGCCTCAACGTCAAGTTGGTGGCTCTTCTCTGAATCAACACGAACATACGTAGTGCATCCAAAAGTTTTCAAGTGAGAGTACTTGAGTTCTTTTTCTATCCATACTTCTTCTGGCAACTTGAACTCCAAAGGTACTGAAAACCCTCTATTGATCAAGTAAACTGTTGTATTTACAGCATCAACTCAAAATGTCTCTGACAATCCAAAATGAATCCTCATACTCTTTGCCCGCTCATTCAATATTATGTTCATCCTTTTATCAACATCATTTTGTCTTGCTTTACCGGGAACTGTCTTTGTTAATCTAATTCCCTTAGGTGCACAAAATGTTTGAATTATGACTTTTCGTACTCTTCTCCATTGTCAAACCTCAGACATTTGATCTTCAAGCCAGTTTGATTTTCAACTTCAGCTTTCCACTTCTTGAAGGTGGCAAACACATCTGACTTGTGTTTCAGAAATAAACTCATACCTTCATGCTGAAATCATCGATGAATATGCCGTAGAACTTTGATCCACCAAGTGATAAAACTGGAGATGGTCCCCAAACGTCTGTATTTACCATTTCCAACCGCACTTTCTTCAATTCTCTGGCAGTCCTTGTGAAACTAATTCGTTTCTATTTGCTCATAATGTAGTTCTCACAAGGACTCATATCAATAAATTTCAGACCTTCAAAAACTTCTTTCGCAGTCAGCATCTTCATTTCTTTGACGCTCATATGTCTAAGTCTATTGTGTCATAAACTTGAATTTGAAGCACTCTCAGCAACAGCAACCATGTTCATACACCTTGTAGTGGTGTATAAGGTTCTAGATTTTATGCCACGTGCTACCACCATAATACCTTCATAATCTTCCACGAACTCTTCCCTAACTCTATTGCATAACCTGTGTTGTCCAACTCACCAATAGAGATCAGGTTCTTTGTGAGACCAGGAATATATCTCAAATCCTTTAATGTCCACTTATTTCCTGCCAAAGTTTTTATGCAGACATCCCCTTTTCCTTCAATCTCTAAATCTTTGTTGTGGACAAAATACACCTTCTCAAAATTTCAGACTTGAAATTCTGGAACAACTCTTTATTTGGAGACGAATGAAAAGATTCACCTGAATCCAAAATCCAGGATTTAATCGAACTGTCAAAGCTGAGGATTAGAGCATCCACAATGTCTTCTGCTGAATTTATAGAATCATCATCATCTCCAAATTTGTATTCTGCTTCCTCTTTAGTCTTGTACAATTTGTTCGAAAGTAACCTTTTTCTCCACAATTCAAACACGTTACGTTTGGTCTATTTGGAGTATTTTCTCGGTTCTTTGATTTTGATCCCCCTTTGTTTGAGCCATTCGATTTACTTCTTCCCCATTGGTCAACACTGAGAGCACTACCAGGTGAATTCTCAATTTCTTGTTTGCAAATACTTTCATTGAGAACTACATTTTAAATTTCATCAAACTTCTATTTATCAGATCCTTGAGAACGGTTGATTGCAGTGACAACAATATCCCACACTCGGGTAAAGATGCATCAAAATCAATGCTTTAATTTCATCCTCGAAATTAATTTCCACCAAACTCAGTTGACTTACAATCATATTGAATTCACTTATATGATCAACAACAGATCCACCTTCAGACATTTGTAGATTGAACAATCTCTACATCAAATGCACCTTGTTCATAGCCGACGATTTTTCGTACATATTCCACAACACCTTCAACAGATCTAACGT